TTGTTTTTAGTTTTTTTTTTTCTCTTATATATATATATATATATGTATGTTTTTCAAGACAAATTTTCTTCTAAGTTTGTGTATATTTGAAAATATTAGGAATAAACAAAAATTCATGTGCATATTTGCCCAATTTTGCTTTTAATTAATCTCATTTAACTTTAGTTGATTTAATTTTTTCTTCTTATGTATTGATTCTTAATTGACCTTTATTGTAATAATATATGTTACAACTAATTTTTTAAGACATATTTGATATAATAGTTTAAAACTAATAATAAGTTATTTATTTAAGATAATGGTTAATAATTGTTATTATTATTAATTTAAATACTTTTATTCATTAAATTATATATGTTATGAATCATAAATTTTTAATCACAATGCCAAACAGTTAATTAAAATAAAAGTACAATACAAAAACATATTAAATAATATTAAAAAAATTAGATGAACTTATTCAAATTTAAAACTTTTAAATTTTACTAAACTTTTAGCCAACTTTTAACCATTTAACCATATGGGCTACTATAGCATTCTTATTTGGGATTTATGACACCATACAATTTGGATTTGTAGTACATCTTGGCTATATATATTCTGTTTAGTCTTCTACACGAAAAAGGGGAGAAAAAAAAAAAAAAAAACATGTGCTTCCATAATGACATTTTGTTCAGTGGATCATATTGCTTGTGAGCCCAACTGTCATTTGTTTCCCTCGGAAAAATCAATTGGCAAATAAACAAAGTAAATGGAAAGATTGTTTCTGGCCCTTTCCCACTTGTGCCTTTGACCATACACACAGTCACACACAATCGTTTGTGTACAAGTTAGAAGCATGACAAAGACCTGAACAATATTTTTACCCAAAAAAAAAAAAGAGAGACCTGAACAATATATATATATATATATATATTCAACAGTCCACACCCCATTTTCTATGAGTTCTCACTAGGTAAAAACGAAAAAATATTGTCACCATATCATGGGTTTAATAAAACAGACGACTCATTCTCAAGTCTCAACCTTACCTAACCTTTTCCCCTGTTCTCTTTAGTAAAAATCAAGGGAAGCAACTAAGCTTTTTCCCTGTTCTTTTTAGTAAAAATCAAGGGAAGCAACTTATGGTGCACTAGACCGATTCCACGTCTATTTACAATGGTTTTTCTCC